AGCAGCTCAATTTTGTTTTGAACGAAACTTACAGTTTTTAGTTACATGTTAGTCAACTTTACTTATATTGAGCTAGCTTTTCCCAGTACGATTCCTATATCCCAGAATGAGCATTCCTGTCATTTGTATGCTCTTAATTTTGCTTCCAACACTTTTAATTTCGTTCCAGTGGGCGAAATCTTGTGAATTGTGAGTACTTGTCATTGTTATTCTGGGTGTTTCTTTGGTGTCCAACAGATTCCTGTTGGGACACCAAAAATTTTCAACAGTTTTGAAGTTACTACACTTGTGAAGTACATTGAGAGAAAATATTAAATTAATAGTTCAGCTTTAAAGCCTTTGAACATGTACCATCCTTCAATACAATATGCTTATTAATTAGCTTAGTGAAAAAAGTGGAACATCATAGTTTTCCAGGTCATCTGAAAGGGTAAAAATAAGGTGGAAATAATCTTGTTGTTATAGAAATTAATTTTCAATATGATTTTTTCTATATCCATCCCATTTCCATCCCCTCAAACGATCTGGAAAACTCGGAAATAAAATTCATTTTATTTAATCCATCACTGGGTACAACGTATCTCATTTTGGCAAACGCACAAAGTTGATTTTTACTTATAGTTTATTCAATATTTCCACCCTTTCAGATAACTTGAAAAACTAAAACGTTTCTATTCTTTCACTAAGACAATCAATAAGCATATTATATTGAAAGATGGTAGTTTTTGAATAAAAACACAATATATTTTTCTTTCAGTGTACTTTGTGGATAACTTGACTTGTGAAATATAGCTCTAAGTTCTATGAATAGTAATTTCATAACGATCATAACAGAAACTTACTTCTGGTAATAAAAACTTCAATGCCACCTACTTTGAGAGTTCGTGTATTCAGAGGTTACGGCAGCAGTACTATGTTGGATCATCTCTGATAAAATTGTAATTATTTTTCTTCTCTCAAAATATGATAAACACCATTAATATGGTTCAAAGGTTAAGTTAAAAACACTATGAAGTGACACTTTGCCTTTTTTTTTTGTAAAAAAACTTTTATTATCATTTAGTTTGTTGGGTGTACATAAACACTCATTGATTCGCTATGGTAGAACTTACGGAGTTTTAGTTTTAGATTCCGTAAATATTTGGTTTTTCCACATCAGAGGATATCATGACCCCTCAAAGGTTAATGATTTAGTCTTTTGGCACAAACATTTTTAATTGCTTTCTGGTTACCCTAAAATCTGTCAATTGAACAAAAAAACAGGGCAGACGAAACATTTTATATAAAAAAAAGGTAAATTTGAATGGTGAAAAGTATAGGGCAAGATGGAACATATGTAACAGGCAACATGGTGAATAAAATCATGTTGATCAGCCTTTTTTTGTTCAAAAGAAGCTGGAAGGATAATTTCCCCAGCGAGACCCCTGCCTTTTATTTTCAGAAACATGTTCGGCCCACTGTTTTATATAAGTACAAACACTTTTTTGGGCAAATCATAAATTCTTAGATTTAGATTTGAAGGCGAACTATAATTCTATAATTCGCAGCCCTTGAAAAATTTTTGACAAAAATGATCTTTCTATTCAAGTACCCTGTTGATCTTTGGATTCTAGTGTCGTGTCAAATGTCACTGTCAGATAATAAATGGCGGGAATGATGGTTGGAAAAATATAATTTTTCAATCCCTACTTACCTGCAAATTCTTCTTTCTATGAAAGACAATACTTTTCGCTTTTACTTTTCTATCTTTGATGTCAACCTTGTTCCCGCAAAGTACTATCGGGATATTTTCACAGACTCTGACAAGATCTCTGTGCCAATTTGGTACATTCTTGTATGTAACTCTGGAAGTTACATCAAACATGATAATAGCACACTGTCCCTGAATGTAATATCCATCACGGAGACCACCAAACTTCTCCTGACCGGCAGTGTCCCATACATTGAACCGAATAGGGCCCCTGTTTGTATGGAAGACCAGAGGATGGACTTCAACTCCCAAAGTGGCTACATATCTTTTTTCAAATTCACCAGTCATATGACGTTTCACAAATGTCGTTTTTCCAGTACCTCCATCTCCGACTAAAACACATTTGAAGGTGGGCATTTCTTGTTCAGTAGCCATTATTTCAGAGTGTCACACACCTACAATATAGAAATGTATTTATTAATCACTAACGAAAGATTTAAATTATTTATAAAAAACGTTGAAGACAATAAATGAAACTGATATTCTAAACACGTTTCGGAATATTTTGATTTTTGTCTTGAATGGCGCTATGAAATGGTTACAAAGGATTTTGAGATCATGATACCGACTTCGTTAATATTTTTTCATGTTAATAAACAAAAGATCGTAAAAATAAAATGAGAGATACATTGTACATTGAAAATAATATTTACCTTATCAAGAAAAACTGTTTGGAAAATCCGATGGCACAAAAAATGAGTGATTACTGTTGCCTACTCGTAACGTCGTTAAAGTTCACAATGGCGTTCACATGAAGCCAAGAGAAGGTGTATAGTATGCGCACTAGAAAATCGTTGAGAAACAGAGTTTATAAGTACCGTGGAGACATTTCAAAAGAATATAATTTGAAAATTTCCAATGTATTTTTAAATTTATAATTTCAGTGTATAATTTCAAGAAAAATCTTAAGACAATTATGAAATTCGTTCGTGACGTCACGTAAAAATTTACGTCACTCACACATGCGCCGATGAGTGACGGCACTGCAGAACTCTATCGATTTTGTTGTAGAAGACTGGTGGCCGCTCGTTTTGAGTTCTGTCGGAAGTTCGGTCCAGTTGAGGTGGTATTTAAACTATTTGAATGGATTATTTTATGAAACTGAAGTTTTTAGTGTGGAGTGATTAAAACCGGGCTAAAATGACAAAGGATAGATTAGCAGCCCTTGTTGCGGTAGGTCGAGACTATCACCTAGTTATGAATTCTAATAAGATTTAAAATTGTCACCAAAACCCATGAATTTTGATTTTTTTTGAGTGACAGTCTAACCAGTTGATTGTATTAGGCACTATTAAATAGTCGTCTCGATAATATTTATCATTTAATAACGAGGTCTTATTAAATTTAACAATTAGGTTAGGTGAAAATGAATGTTAGTCCTACTAATTTGACGTCTCAGCCCCACCCCTTCAAAAATATTGCTCAAAAGAAAATTTTTTGGAAAGATAATATTGTTGAAGATGCTTTTGTTGTAGGCCCAAAGTGATGATGATGATGTTGGGCCTGATGATGTTGCCGTCAACGTTGAAGGTAGAGACGGTTTCATGGATGCATTCTTTGGAGAGGTATGCACATTTGCTTTCTTTTTATAACTATTCCACTGTTTGAATTACGTCATGTTTTTGCTACAACCACCTGATAGATGAATAACCATTGAATGACAGACCAAAATGACGTGAACTTATTTGTGTAGATGAAAAAATAATCAATTCTGTGGCTATTATTCCGTTAGACGTAATAATATATTTGAGAATTTACAAAAAAAAAAATACAAACTACTTACCGGTTGATGTTTGTTGGTGGATAATCTTTCATCAAATAGTTATCAGCCTATTATCATGAATTAATATTGTAATATGGTTGTTGTACTTATATTTTATACATATTGGAGCAATTATTACTTCAAGTTATTACTAATCAGTTTTTATTCAATATGGAATTCGGAAGAAACGTTATTATAGTTTATAGTATATTCGGTATTGTCTGAGAGTGTAAGAATTTTAAGAATGCAAACATGCCGGCACATCAAAGAAAACAACATAGTCGTCTCAAGCAAGTGGCACTGCAATTCATTTAGAAAGTCACTGAGATATTTCTACTCGCCATGCCCCTTGAGGATGCCGCTAACGGGCCATTAAAATAGTGGCTTGCGACAAACAAAATCAAAAGACGCGGCCAACGGTTTTTCTCATATTGCGTTAAAGATAGTATTAGTAGGCGTCGGAATGGGGGTATTGATATAGATATTCTAATGATATATTCTGTATGGTGCGAAGGTAATCGAAATTTCGTGAAAATTAATTTTGTTTGAATATTTTATTTTGAGGACAATTTATATTTGAAATAGTTTTTCATTTGGGATTGTTACCTTCTACAGATCTATAAAATAATCAGACTATTAACGGGGAAAAAATTACTGCATTTGATTAATAAGCTTTTTTAAAAAAAAAAACTAATTTGTCTGTAACTTGAATTTATAAAATTTGGCATATAAAAATAAATATGGTATCATCTGGTGACGTATTGAAGATTATCCATTTTATTTATCCAACCTATTTAAAATAAAACATAATTTGTAGTTATAATTCGTTTTATGATGTAAATCCATTCGAAATTATCATTATTGACACTGATAAAATTAAATTGATTGTAGGTTTGATAATGAAGATGGATAAAGTCTTCGAAACGTCAGCAGATAAGTATACAAATAGAATAGGTTTCAGCGGCTAAACATTTGAACATCTGAATTTGTTCGACGTTTTGGCTTCGACTTTGAAGCCATTTTCAAGAAGTAGAAAAGTGTGGCTGTACTGAGAGATACACTTTAAGGTTTTGTGACTTGACGCCGATGCCTCAATCTGCCTACTCCTTCACGTTAAAAGGTTAGACCCTCTTAGTACATTGCCCGCACAAGTTTCGACTTCTGAGGGTTATCGTTCGTAGGGGGGCGATACCTGTTTAACATTAAAACACATTTTGAAGATATATGTTTGTGTGGAAGTTAACAATCCCAAATAAGAAACCATGTCAAAAATGAGTTCTTGTTGGTTTGGAAATGAAGATTCATATTTTTCATATTCATATTCATATATTTATAGTTGATTCAGAAACAATTTTATAGATTCAATGGGAAAACTTACATCGAATATGATAGTGCGATAATTTGTAATCTGAAAAAGTCTACAGGGATTCATTAAGTGATTTTTCACTGGATGAATCAGTTTTATTAGGATTGATGACAACTGGAATATTTTTTTCTGATAATGAGTCTATGCGATTATCCAGATCCTACATCTCTGTTTCGATTCTGATTGTTTTGTGGATACATTTTTCCCAAGCTTCTTGGTCGACTGTTTCCAGAGCACTGTATAGGCATTTCTTTACTTCACACAGTTAGAAGGTCTTGTATTTCGTCAATGAATTCCTTACCTCAAGCCCAAACTAACTTTATTGGATTCAATTCACAGTGATAAGGCGGCAACCAACGTTTAGCCAAGCTGAGGAGCTCCGCTTTTACATGGTTGATTCGAAAGGAATAGCTTTCATTTGTAACCACTCAGTTATATCTGCTTTCCTCCAACACGATGTCGGCAGCTTATCATTGACTCGTCTACTGTGGTAACTTGCGTTATCCATTACAACTACGGATTCCTGCGGAAGTTTTTAAACCATTCTTCGAATACTGTTCAAAGTATCAAAATACAAAATATCCAAA